TAGTCCTATTATTCAACAAAAAATTCCAGATTTTACTTCCTTTAGAACTTAAAAGCATCTGGAAGTGGAACAGAAATTTCTGGTTTTTTTTAAATCAAGGTCGCTGTGAAAATCAGTAATTTTAAGACGAATATGTTTATATCATGCATCTTTGTGTTCTTCTGTTATCAGTTTTCCTCATCCTTGTTAGTGAACTGCGTGAACGTTGCACACAGATCTCATTAATCGCAATTTGTCGCCGTTGTTTACTCTTAGCACCATTTATTGACACACTGTGTCACGACTGCCTTTTTTATCATCACGTGGACGTCTACCGCTGGTCAGCAGCTTCTTTTCTTGAATTTTTTCTACGTTATTTGAGTTGAATAGACCGTTACCCAAGCTTTGCGCCTAATATCCCATTTTTGGGTTCAATCTCTGATAAACTACATTACTACGCATTTATAAATAACGGACGTGTACTGCACCTGCAATTATGCACAGATTATTTATTTATGTGTTATATACTTATCTTTTTTGAGCGATTTGTATGCAACTATTTGGAAAATAGAAGTGTCTGTGTTATTCCTGTGGCTTGCTGCTCTGATCGATGATCACTCACACAGCTTTTCTCCACCTGCTGCCATAACATCACGCGTGTAAATATTTAGAAGCAGTGTATTCTGTGGGTTTGCTGTAAAGATATATTTACTGAGAATCTTGTATCTACTACGAACGCACCATATTGTTGAAACGCGAATATTGTTCTGAAAACAAAAATGCTGAATTTACTAGAGAATTGAGTCGATTCAAGCTTATTTTTCGAATATAATTGTGTACTTTGCGCGGTCATTCGAGATCTTTCTATGATATTGCTCCATACTTTTTTCACTATTGGATATAGCTCAGGTTTGATGTTCGTAATTTTGTTTGATGAAATGTCAAATGCAGCGTCTTTGCCAGTCAACTCTTCACCTAATTTACGTTATGTTTATTTATCTATTCGTTCATCCATTACGAATATTTTGTTCAGTCATTCATAGTTTCCTTTATATCCGACTTTGCAATTCTGCTGCGTGCAAAGAGCTTTATCTTTGAATTCTTTCACATCCTCTGATCATTCTGGTCTGCTGAAAACGGAAACTTTATCCGGCGTGCGCTTTTGGAAAGAAAATTTAGATCCGTGGCTCCTCTTATATTGAAGGAAACGAATTGCATTGCGCGACTTCAGCGTGTCCCGGAAACGGTCACCAGCCTTTCTCGTTAGAGAGCATTGCTGGTGATATTGCTTTACGGCTTCACGCTAACTTAAGTTCCCGTTCAAGTTCAGCATAGAGAAATATCCAGAAAATGGGAAATTTCAGTGTTGGTTTGCTCGGACACTGCTTTCGTTACTGACCTCTTTGGAATCAGCCCCAAAGTTTCTGTTAAGAAAACATTTTCAACGAGCTTTCACATCTGCCATTTTAAAGAAAACATTGTGATCAGAAGTAAAAGCTGCCCGACTCCATATTTGCTAATAGCGACCTAGTCGGTTAGTTTCTGAGCTGATGTTGAAATTACAATTCATTTTCTTGCACAAAATTCGAAGACTCTCTTGGCAGGAGTAAGTCGCCCTAACTTGCTATGTGGTCTTGACATTTTCTTCCAAATTTTCATCATCTTTTACAGTTTCGCTGCTCGGTGAACGATTTAAAACGTTATTTCCTTTATCGCATTTCGTTTGCAACAAATTTTGATGTTATTAATCCTTCAGTTTGCGGGTATCCTGAGAACAATCTGGACCGAGTAGCTCTTGTACTATTGTTTTGTCTGGTAGTCATCGTCTCGTCGCTCTTATTGCGGAGGCAATAACATAGGTGGGTTTTCTGTCCAGATTGCACTTTTTCTTCGCTTTCTATATCTTTTTCCGCACTTATCCATTCCCGCTTATTTGTCCCTCGTATCTAACGATATATTGCAGTATAGTTTAAGGGCATTTTGAGCAGATCTGCCCAAGACTCCGTTCACATGGTTTTCACATGCTTTGGTCAGAGCTGTCTAACCGAATCAAATTAGAGTCTCTTTCCATTAATTCAAATTACTTTGAGAATTGGTCATCTGCAACTACTGGAAAGGTGTTCGAACATCCACAATTCAAAAACGTTGAATGTAATCACTAGAAATGGACAATTACTCACAATCTTTGTCAGAAAACTTTTGAACAGAAATTTCTGATCAGTTCAGTAATGGAGAACAATCCAGTTTGAATTTTCATTTCTCCTTGGCTTATCTTGGATTTTGTTGCCAATTGCATTTTTGACCGAATTTTCTCCAAAGCGTATGATTTCTGTAGACAGTTAAAGCGAGTTCAGGCTCCCTGTTTGTTTATCTGTTTGTTGTACCATTGTTTAAATCAGTTGGTAGACATTATCTTTCCAATCCTGTAAGAAATTTCTACGATGAAAAAGTCTCACCTTAAACATGCTTATCTTATCCTGAGCTGTATAGCTCTCGACCTATGGGGTTTTCTTTAGGGCGCCTTATGTCACTGGTAATTAGTGCAATATCTTATCACTTTGACATCTCGCGTGCAAATTATATGAGGGACATATATAATCGGATAATACAAAGGTTAAGGAGATTTTACACTTCGTTTTTCCCATTACAAGCGTTTTTCAACGGTATTTCCTCTATAATTATTTGCTTGTTCTTCTGGCTTTGTGACTCCTTATTACTAAAAAACATTCCTGAAATTTTATGGGGTTGTGCTTGTCTGTAACATTCAGCGTTTCATACTATGAGGGAAAAAGGCAGATCTGAGTCAAAGCGAAACTTTTTCAAATATGTGTGTCCGTCCTTTGAATGCAGCCCTTCTGATTTGCGACAGGCATAAACTGTCACTTACGGCTTCAAATTGCCATCTCCTGTACTTTGGGGTGGCATGAATTCTATTCTTGCTATTTTTGCACAATAGGATAATTTCATTCGTAGGATGCACCCATACTGAGCTGCGTACATTCATTCAGTTCATGCTTGTATTTTTTTGTCACCATAACATCTATAACAAACCTGGCTTTTCCTCCATACAAGTGGACTCAGTGAAGTTTCAAAAATTTGTTTTCAAGCTGTTTGTACTAATATTCATTTTCTTCTGTAGTTTTCCTAGTCTCCTCCATCTGAAAGGTCATAGTGGGCGGTTCCATCCTTTGTTTAGATACCTTTAGGTTAGTTCGGAGAATAGCCTCGATACTAAAGGCTGTAAATCACTTGTCCTCTTTACGACGCTTAGTTAATAATGTCACAATAAAGGCAATTGCCATTCATCTTTTCGCTTATACACTATGCTTGGGGAAAGTTGATAATAATTCATTCATTAGAATTCCATAAAAACTTTACCAACGCTATCGTTCACTCGACTTTCTTTTTTTTCGGCAATTTAATGATGTGTGACAAATAAAAAGAGTGACTTTTGTTTTCTGTGATTTTAAGTAGCGATGTAATCTAGTTTTTCTTCTCTTTTTTGCTCTTCTTGGGCTCTCTCCTGAAGCCATTCATGTTTTTTTTTCGCTAAAGAAGGTTTCCATTCGCAGGTATACCTTATTTGTTCGATGCACTGGGAAACAATGAAGGCAACGCTCTATCTCGATGATGGTTCTTCTTTTACCGGACAACTCTTCGGAGCTACCAAAAGTGTGGTAGGAGAGATAGGTAATTGAAAAAAAAATCCTAAAAGTAATGAACAGTGAAATGCCATTTTTACCTACTAAGTGAAATTTGGCTTTTTTAGTCTTTCAAACGGGTATGGTTGGATATGTTGAATCCTTAACGGATCCCAGTTACGCTCAGCAATTGCTCACCCTAACATATCCAATGATTGGTAATTATGGAGTACCTAGTCATGAAGATATCGATAAACTTGGATTACCATCACATTTTGAAAGTGACAGAATTTGGCCGGCAGCTCTAATCGTGGACAGGTTTGTGAAGATTATGAGCTTTTATTCTTTTGAATCTATCTGATCTTCTAGGATTTGTCCCGAGAATGAGCATAGCCATTGGGAAGCAGTAGAATCGCTGAGCAGCTGGCTGCGATCAGCTGGAGTACCAGGATTGGCTGGTATTGATATCCGTATGTTGACCAAGAAAATCAGAGAGCAAGGAACGATGAAAGCCAAGGTGAACTTTTGGTTGCGTCAAGCGCATGACTTTTCAGTAAAATTGTTATTTAAGCTTATAATCGAGAGTGATGATCCCACGAAGTATCAGTTTCGTGATATCTACGAAGAAAATCTTGTTTCATTCGTCTCAAGAAAAGTAAGCGGTCACAAATC